ACAGGGATTCCAAAGTTGGTCCCACGGTATGACAAATGTCTCACTTCCGGTGGCGAATATGTTGAAAAATAGCTGGACACTTGCTGTATCTGTTGCAATAAATATTTCCATGAAATTGTGTTTTGTTTCTGTAAACGGCCCCAGGGAAACTTACTTTGTGGACGAGCCTCGTATGTTTTGAATGATGTCAGGTCATTGCTTGATGAACAGTTAAATCACAGAAGTTATTATGATTACCACAATGACTGAAACACAGATAGTGTTTTACGATGAGAAACATCAAATGAAGAATGATCAGATGGACAGGGCGTGTAGTATGCACAGACTATAAACGATGATGAAAAGAAAATTTAAAATATTAAATATTATTAGGTACCTGGAATGTGAGAAGTTCGGTGGCTGTTGGTTGACAGCTTAGCAAGTCATGTGAACAACATCCACCACAACGCTCCACACGGGTGCATGATGGGTAATAAACCACAGACTTGTCATCTAGGTTTTGTAACGTAACTGTCACAAGTTCCGGTGCACAAGTGGCTGACTTCGGGATAATAGCAGCTTCTATCGAAAGAGATTCCATGTTCTAAATATGTTAACCTCATTTGATAATGCTGACAGTTTCTCATAATCAGCAGTAATAGAGACTGTAAAAAGTATATGAAATGTTATACTTACTTCTGTCAACTCCTTCATCATCCCCAAATCGATCTGAAAATAAATATAAAGCAAATTAAATATAATATCTTAACTTTTTGATGTACTGCAGTGGTAAACAGTACACCACTATCATTCCCATGTTCTCAGAGCCTGCTGTTTGGAAGACGTCTATAAATTATTAATATTTTTTTTAAATTCATGTGATAGTACATTCATTATTTGTTTTGATGTTCAGTTGTTGCATGAACATTGTAGACAGAACCAATCAACAGTAGAGGTATTATACTGCATAGCATACGAAGAACTGTTTTAAATAAATATAAAAATTAGTGAGATGTATAGTTTATGTCAAATATAAAATTTTTTGTATGAACTCTGTCAAGTTTGACATAACCTGGATTTACGATTCCTGTAAAATAGATTATAGTGTACCGGTGCAGATTAAAATTGAGTAATTTTCAGAATGAACAAACATGTAGATATCAATATATGGGCAAACAGGCAAGATCTCCTCATGGTGTTTTCATTTAATTCCTGTGAAGTCTACATAAAATCACTTCTAGATTGATTTTATATAGTAGTGTATAGCTTATTGACTTTTACAGTAGTGCACGTGCGCATGCACACATTTGATCAGTAAATCTGATACAAAAACTTTTTCATTGTTACAGATGTTTACAGATCTAATTTGTTGCCATGGCAAGCTCCGATGATGAAAAACAGACTGCTATACACTTTGCTGAAATGTTTTGCAATTTGTTAGATAAACATCGTGACCAATTAACAGCGTATCTTGCAGATGATGCAGTGTTAGATTGGTTTGGACATACAGTAAGCAGCAAGAATTCAATTGTTGGTTTCATGAAGTTGGAAATTCCTGAAACATTACACAATCTCACATCAATAGAACCTTCAGGTCCCATTCAGCATCAGAAAAAGATGGTTCTTGAATTTATGGACAGCGAGAACAATGTAACATCATTGAAAGGCCAGACATCACTTCACGATTCACTTTCAGATGAAGACCTTGCAATGCCATTGGACAGTCCAGATTTTATGGTCCAAGTAACTTGTTCAGAGCAAGTTGATGGAATGGCCAAACTTAATCTTAATAGCCTATCCTTACATGAGAATTGCACAGACAAATGGAAATCCCTTAATTGTTTCCAGTCACAACTTTTAACTTCAAAGAAATGCGGGATTCCAGTAGTATCAGAGCAATATTATGATTCCAGGTATGAAGGACAAGGAGATTGTCTTTTTAAACCCAGTGTGAATTATTTTATGAAACCTAACAGATTTTTGGAAGCTCGTGGAAGTATTGAGTTCCAGCGTACCAGACAGCCTGGCATGGAAACTAAGAATATGAAGTTGATGTCAGACACTATGAAGTGGTGTCGATTCTTCAAACTACAGATTGCCTACAGCACCCCAAATGCAGTATTTCATGCTAATGATCTTAGTGATGGAATAGCTGGTGATTTTAAAATCTGGCTTCTAGTATACAAGGATAATTCACAATGCAGAAGAAATCTGTCTGAAGCATTTGATAAATTAAAATGAAATGGGGAGATCAATATTACGACTATAGGATTCTCGCGTCATGTACCGCACCATTATTTATGTGTGTTTAATAATGTATTTCATATTTAGGTGCTGTTATGCAGTACAGATTTTAGTTTGACTTTGATTTTTTGAGTTTTCTTAGTACAGGTAGTCCCCGATTTATGCCAGGGTTACGTTCCACCTCCTCAGGGTTGTTAGCTGAAGCGGTGTAAATCAAGGAAGAATTATAATGTATTGTACTGGCGGACGAGGAGAAAGCAACTGATGCCGACACTAGTGCTGCCTAAGTAACCACTTCCTGTGCTGAGTTTACCCTTGCGTTTTCAATTTTTTTCTTATATTTGTTTATTTTTTCAATATTATTTTAAAAGGGCGTTAATGTGAAACAGCATAAACAGTGGCCTTGTTAACCTAACCTTTTTCACAGTTAAATCAATAAACAGCTTTGAAAGCTAGTATAGCATTCTGCCAAATTTGATAAAGAATGATTCTGTCAATATTCATTTGTTCATTATTTTATTTAAACAGATTATTAAAGTAACACATTTTGTTAGAGATGCTTTAAGTTGGTGAACTAGCTGTAAGTTTGTGTTGGTAACATCACATTAGTACCAGTCTGTTGTAGCTGTTAATCATATTTATTAATGAATGTATAACATTATATTGCTGCATTATAAAAGATGTAAGCTCTAATTCAAGACTAGACAGAAATTAATTTTTTTTTCATGTAACCAAAATTGTCTTCTTATCCATATTTCAATTGTTTTGTTGGAAACATGAATCACTTCATAAAAAGTTTTGGAATTTATCTATTTAGAAAGCATTCAAAATGTGTGAAGAAGGCTGTCTTCTGGGTTGTTGCACCATGTAGTCTGGTAGAAGTTTACTGACGTTTCAGAAATGTCAGTGAATTTCTATCAGACTACACGGCACAACAACCCAGAAGACAGCCATCTTCAGACTCACTGCCATAAAAATCTCAAATACTGCATTCCAAATATGTATTCAAACAAATAAAAAAAATATTTTACAATTAAAAATTGTAATCTTCAGTTAAACATTTTTCATTACACAGTTGTCATATGGTTAATTGTAATAAATATCAAATTTTAATTTGATAATGCAACACAATAGGAGGCAATTAAATTTAAATTTGTCATAGAATACATAAACTGGCAACTGTTCAGATCAGATGTCACTCTTGGCTTTTTTTTGTAATTGTAAAAAAGAGATAAAGAAATTCTGTCAAATGTTACACCTGACCTTATAAAAATGTAATATTTGTATGTCAGCATGCCATTTTGAGATGTGTGACAAAAATATTCAAAGAATATTTATAAGTATTCTTCTCTGTTTTCAATAATTTTGATTTGATTCATCTCATTCTAAAAAAATATGAAAACTTCATACCATTTATTATTTTTCAGATATATAAAAACTATGTATATCTCCAATTTTTTCTTAGTAATGATGTTGATGGTAATTTCAACAATAACAGTTTCTAACATAACATTTTATAGCTCCAAAATCATACACTTTTGCCTTCGCAGTCTGTAGTATTGAGTTTCAGGGATTCATTTTAGATGACTTCCATATTTTACACATCTTAACCTGAAGAGTATTTTTAGTTCTAAAACTGAGGTGCCATTATTGAATGAGGAAACATTTAAGGAAGTATAAACCTACATGTTACTTTTTGGCTACATTAATTTAATGTATATCATAAGAGAAGTAAACATTTCATTTTTCTGTTTACAGTGTCAGCAAAGTATCATAGTATCTTTTGCAGAATGCATCAGAAACACACTTGATACATCTTTTTTGTAAATAATTCAGAGTTTACACTAATTGGAGTAATATGTGATTGTAGTAATAAGGACTGAGATGATTAAATATTTTAATTCCTGTCACCTGGAAGAACTGTTACTTTAATTTCTGAAGTAGTTTAATATTCTGCAAAGATATGTATTACTGGCAGCTAGACCCATTTCAAATCATTTTAATACATTAAAGAGATTTTTTTTATTAACATTATGTTAATTTTTGTTGAATTTTTAGACTTAAAGCTTGAAATGTTTAGTACTTTCAGTTCATAACAGGAATTGTGTGTTACAGAATCATAAACGTTGTAATATGTTTTAGTACATAAGCCTCTTTATACTCAACTTAATGTTATTTTACTACTCATGTACCTGATATAAACAAATAAATATGTTTGTGTAGTTACAGTAATTCAATACAAATTAAGACCAGTATATTTTGTTTTCAAGTTTCTATTTTATAACACAAAGTTCATAATTAAAAACATCTGATTAAAGTAGTTTCATGTTAAATTTAAATATTATAAATCAAGAAATAGATTGAAGATTTCTGTCTTCTGGATTCTTTCACATAGAAACATTGAATGCATTCTTCATCTATCATGTGATAACACATTGGCCCAGATGATTCGTGTAGGCTTAGTGGTTCTCGCGGCAGTGAGTATGCAGATGGCTGTCTTTTTGGTTGTAGCACCATGTAGTCGGATTGACGTTCACCAACAATTCAGAAGAGCTTACTGCCTGTATCGTCAGGGTGATGATATGATGGAGACAGCAAGCACCTCTGCTAGCAAGCTATATACCAGACTATATGGCGCTACAACCCGGAGGACTGCCATCTTCATACTCACTGCCGTGAGAACCACTCGCCTACATGAATACATTCTTCGTCTGTAATGTGACGGAACATGATGTACAAAGACTGAGATTATATGTCCTGCCCAGTTCTATTATTAACAGCCATCGAAGACCTTCATGTTTTTAATTTAAAGAACAATCTTGTACGTGACTATGTTTAATTTAAATAAAAAACAACCCATAATAAATAAATCTATGAAAAGGTTTTGCAGTTGAAATATTTGGGAACAACAGCAAGAAATTCATATGTTGTTCAGATTACAAACTTATTTTTCTTTCTTCCAAATCTTTGATCATGAACCTTTTATGTGTAGCATTTACATTTCTCACATGTGAAAACTCGGTCCAACTTAGTAGTTAGACGGGCCCAAATACATTTTTAATATTTTTAAATGGTTATGTTGCGAGTGAATGTATATAGCATCAAAGTATAGAATTTACAACATAAAAGCAATACTAAAAGTGTTTGTGTAAATAAAACTATTATTAATTTTGCAGCCTCTATACATGTGTATAAAATGGAATTATTTTATCTCTTTTCTTTATGGCTTTATATTAAAAGATTCAGATTGCTGCAATGCATACAAAAACAAAGTATTGATGACGATATTTTGATTTACATGTAAGTAGATTAAAAGTATGCAATGAAAATTTTGTGATTTTTTATTCACTTATTATTACTAATATTTAAACATCAGATGTTATGAACAGGTCAAAACAAATGTACAAATAATTTGATATGAAAATCTCGTAGGAAGATAATTGTCATTTTATTATGATAACAGGTTCTACTGTCTGTTGGTTTAGTTTCAGCATACTTACTTCCTACTCCAGATTCTGGATTATCGTCATCAGGCACTGTGTCTTTACTTATACACTTATCAAGATCTGTGACATTTTCAACACTGTTTAGGCACTGGATGAGATCAAGAGGAATCTGAAATGTTAAAAGAATTACAAAGTGTTAATTGTGGAGATATATACATAACCCCAAAATTTGAAACTGAACAGCTATTTCCATCCACAGTATCAATATTTTCCTTTAATAAATGATGCATTTTTAAATATGCTGTATGTAACAAATAACATTAATAATTTACAAGATTGTGTACCTCTGTCCTGTTACGATGCAGAAAATTCTTTGGGATGATATGCAAATCTGGTGGAATGGTACTGACATAGGGAAACCAAACGACTGGGAGGTAAACCTACCCCAGCCCTAGTTTGTCTAAAAGTCCAACATGCACTACCCTGGGAGCAAACCTGGGCTTATGGGGTGAAAAGCCAGGCCTATAGCACAACTGCTCGAAGAAGTCCCCCCGCCCCCCTTCATGTTACACGAAATTTCACTGTCATGTTCACAAAAGTCTGTTCTTGGTTTCTGTCTTAAACCACATGAATCCAGTTCACTTCTTAATATTCTACTTCCTTTAGAAATATTTTAAAATCCTACCATCGACTAATAGCTCCCAAGTTGTATCTTAACTTAAAGTTTTTGACTAAAATCGTGTATGTGTCGTCTCCGTTTATGCTAAATGCCCACCTCATCTTCCTTTATTCATAGTAGAATATAACTTATGAAACTCCTCATTATGCAAATGTCTTACTTCTTCTTTCTTAGATCGGATATTCTCAGTACTTGTTCGCTTTACACTCTCAACTGTTTATGTTTTTCGTTAATGTTATTTTACATGATATTTACCTTCTTTGCTGACTGACGTTGCAACGTTAGATAAGCCGTTCTTATAATTAATTGTATTTCTGATATAAGGAGACCGGAAGCCACAAACCCTGAGGACATCCGTAAATAATAAGGCCAACAAACGACTGTACTGCTGCGCACAGGCTATTTTAAAACTGCTAACCGCTTCATTAACACAGCGACTGCGGTTAGATTCCGTTTCTTATACAAAGATATCTCACCGTTTTATATATATGGAATATAAATCCTAAAAAGTTGTATACACATTATAATACGGAATATTAACCTTATATGTACATCGTTTTGTGACATTCTGTAGACTACGGAGTAAATGATGACGTCTTATGTAAGACATTACCTATGTTACACAGTTCAAAAATTCACAAAAAACTATGCTGCATCAGGTAAACCTATATATAATATATATCTAATATCCAGTTTAATATTATCCTCCCATTAGCGTCTAATCTCCCATGTGGTCTCATCTCTTAAATATATTTTTACAAGTCATTACCGTTAACACTAATTCACTAATATGTGTATTATTAGCATCGACGTTTCGGTTTTGAGTTATCAACTATATTTTTCCTACGTAATATTGTTTTGCATTTCAGTCTTTATTTATACCCTGATTATGAAGGTGATGCGTTCCTCTGAAGATATTTATATTCTGTATAATAATTCAGGCTTAAAAATAACTCGGAGTAGATGTAGGTTAATATTATTACGTATAAATTTCTCTACGTTTTATCTAACTTGCTGTTCGTAAGTTTCGAATCTGTAAGCAATTTAATATAAAAGTTTTTGCTATTATTTTGTTGTTATGATATAACAGATTATTTATTCATTTAATTGTGTTTATTTAGGCTATTTCTAAAATTACAGTTATGATTCTTCATTAATTATTTAAATTACGCATCTTCGTAATGCACTTATTAATTTAAAATAATGTAACTAGTTTTGGTTCTCTATTATTCCAATCAAAAGCCACTAACTGTAGCTTTCAATTTAAGAAGATTATAACTTGTTTAGTTTGTGTTGTCTTTATTTACAATTTAAATTTATATTCTTTCAAATTTCAAGTTCACTTGCACTAGCCGGGGAAAATCTGTGTGTTAAACGTCCGTTAGAAGTAAAAGGCAGGTGACAAGAGTTAACACCTTTTAATGTTAGTGTATCTAGTCACAGAGTCGGCACAATAATGAAATAATTCCAGAATTATAGAGCAGACATATATTTTCATTCGAGGAATTTACATGAAATTCAATAGGAAAAAGTTACTCCTAATTCGTATTCGGGAGGTCTCGAGTTCACATCCTGGAGCGAACACCAGCTGCCATAAATGGAATATGAATCTCAGTCAATACAGAGAATATATTCCGACCAAGGGGCAGATGAGATGTAGTGTCTTATGCCTGGCATTTCAATGTTACAGGTTTGGGGTTAGCTCAATCAGGGGACCCAACAGAGATGCTTTGTATTTTTCTCGTTTTTTATTTAATGACTAAAGAATAATCAAGTTTTCGAAACGTTATTTTATAATTTAGAAGATGGACAATGTCTAAAAGAACAATTCTACTCATTTAAACGATTCATCGTCGGAAACATTAAAACTTCGATATGTTATTTTCCAGCACCGGTTCTGCAGGTAAACACGGTGTCCTTGTACGACCTTCATTGCTATGTGTGCAGAATTCATTTCATCCGCCCACGAGTCCAGTCTACTGCCGTCTGTTCCTTAAAGACTTCTCTGAATTATGGACATTACGCATCACTACGTATTCTTGATTTCTAAACCGTCCAGTTCTGTCTTTCCGGGAAGGTTAGAGACAATGTGACTTATATTCTACTGCTCAGACCGGACTAGTTTTCGAAAAGGGAAAAAAAACTGGTTTCCAGGACACATTTTTACGAAACTCCGAAGAAGGAGTAACATGATATGAGCAATACAATGTAGTACTGTAGTGAAATAAGAAATACCTTCGACTACTTAGTCGGAAAACCTCAAGGAAAGGGACAATTTATTCTTTTGTTTATTACGTATTTACCAGCGTGGTATTACCCGTGTAAGTTCACGGGAATTAACTATTTTTGTATTGAAGAGTAATACAATTTATTGCAGTATTATCTTTGCAAATCGTATGCGTTTTCATGACGTAGTTATCAAGTGCAAGGTCCTTACATTTACATTTTTTTAGCCCGTTTTTATAAGCATCGAATGAAAGTTTGTATCAATCATTTCTTCCCAGAACTCCTTATTGATTCATGAGTCTAGAGTTAGACCATCTTATGTAATATTTTATAGTTCTTTGGTACTCCTTATGAGCTATGTTGAACTATACTTTCATCTCTGGTTTTCCACGCCCAGTGTTCACTGGCGTATGGTGTTGACATTCCTTCGCCCTTTCTTAATTTAAATGTAAAGTCCTTTTATCGTCCCACGTGTAGTTAGAAATTTATTTTAATTTATATTCTGCATCTTTGCTATCACAACATAAAAAATATGACATCCTTTACACATAAAACAAGAAATCTGTTTTAATGATAAATTTCCTGTAATATTTGATGATGTCTTTAAAGCTCATAAACTAGATTTTATATGTTTCAAAAACTGAAGCACAAAATTCTTGGAAGATGTACAGATTTTGACATACGTCGTATCTCCAGCTCAGTTGTAATTTCCACCTTCTCCGAGTCAGATAACAAAAACCTGTCAAGCAGCGAGCCTAGACTTACGTCAAGAGACTGCTAATTATCTACCTCAGGCAATTTACAATTATTTACCTTGCTATGTAGTTATATGACGTAGTAAGACGCGTGCATAATTATGCAATGACGAAAATGACCATGTCGGGGAATAACAATAACAAAGGTAAATTAGATTCATGTCGAATAAGTTCGCCATTTGTTTTGAATATATATGAAACGTCGAATATGAATTACAAATGTTGAAGTAAAATGCAAAGGGAAATATTTTGACATAAGTGAGAAATTTAGAATATTATGAACTGAAAAACTATTAGATTTGTACGGATTTTATAATACTGCTAAAGTTAGCTTTACATGTGTCCAGGATGGAATGATAAATCGTGTATATAGAATTTTCATGAGGAAGCCTTTTTGAAAACGTTCACTTGGAAGACAAGAAAAGATATGGAAGGATAGAATTAAGATGAGTCTTAAGTGGATATGTTGTGGGCATTACAGATGGATAAAATTGGTTCAAGATCGTGTTCACTAATTAATTTACGATATGATGACACAGATGGATGACATTGGTTCACTAATTAATTTACGATATGATGACCGTAACTAAAGTTGTAGCTGTCTCAAAATGGCGCCACACACATTGTTAAGAGTATATTAAATGGTTCTAGTTTTGCTTCATACTCACTGTATGTTGAATGCGTCTGAGTTGTTGGTTTTAAAACAGTGGCTTCAGATCATCGCCAATTTCATTATCTTCCTAATGATGTTTAATAACATCCATCCGTTAATGTGGTACTAAATACAAGATGTTTTGCCTTTTATGTTCGTGTCTCATTCTTATCAAGCTATAAGCCATCCGATTCAAAATTAAATTAGAAATTATTAATCCTTCATACATTTGCTAGGACCAGCAAACTCAGATAGAAAATTAAAACACAACGAGACTCAATAATCACAACAAAAATACTGTACAATAATTATTTTAAAAAAACATTTATTTAGTAGGATTTGAGATTTTCACGGGTTGTTGTGCACTGTAGTCTGATAGACGTTTACCGACGTTTCAGAGATCCTTGGTGTCTCCAGCATCATCGCCCTGATGATGGAGGTAGCATTTAATGTTCTGACATTTTTAACTTTAAACTGTTTCAACTAATTTGAAATATTTAATATATAGTTTTATTATTATTTCTTGATATCTTGAGGAGAAAATGCTTTTCCCAATGCAATGACATAAAAAAGGCAAATGAACTTTATGGTGGCCGCATTGGACCGAAACATGTTATTCTAGTGAATGGACAGTGAACTCTGTGAAGTGAACGAACAATAAAAGCCGAGGACAAGGACGGTAAAGATGGAATAACTTTCGATTCCAACGTTCTAAAACTTTTCCAGACCTTGGACCACATTTGTCCCTTTCAATCTAATCGCTGGCCGCGAGGTAACAAAGACGGACATTTATTTAAAACCCATTGTAATGTACTAACATTTCTAAAAAAATCAGACCTCCATTGCAGACAGGTTCACATATTGCTCAAAATCGGCCATTAGTCGGAAACAGTACCCAGAACTAACTATTTAACCTTCGTCACTGGGTTCCTGATAGAATAGAAACAAATGCATATGTTATGCAAATCAAAAACATCACCGACACTGGAACTCAGACGACGAGCTACAAAGTACTGCCACTGGGAAATGTTTTTAAAAAAGACAATATATGCTTCCTTATCAGCCACCCCTTAGAAACCCTTATCTTAAACTTCTAACGGACGTGAAACGCACAGGTTCATCCCGACTACTTGAAAATGATTTTTCTTCATTAATATTTAAATATCAGGCTAAATAGAGTTACTGACATTCGCATGTACCCTTCCAAGTGTCCATCAGTACGACGCGTCATAATTCTTAATTAAGGCCTAAGCTGAAAGTTTTCAGGTGTCAGGTGCTGCCACATACGACGGTAACAAAATGTATTTTCTGATATCAGAAACTATTTTTGATCATATAGGTTAATAAAATTTTATAAAAATCGTATGCCAGCCGCACGAAACCGGTGGGCCTCGGGTTGCGATCTCCTGTTCTAGTCCTCGCGACAGCTGAGTCCGCATTCCAATTTGGATATCTGCCAATGCCATAGGTTTTCAAATAACTTTGTTGTAACGGCTTTCAAGGGTAAGGGTAGGGTAGGGGGGAGGACCGCCTTGACACATATTCAGTTTTAGACGTACTGAAGTGCACGTTGTAATTTCAATCATCGGGCACGTAAAACAAAGTTGTGGGTACAGGTTTTAGGAAGCGTGAATCTCTTTAGAACGCACGTACACTGGGATTTTGGATTCGGATAATCTTGTTTCTCTGTGTCGTGTTATCCTGTGTAGTAACTACGGGCTAAATATCTCTCACCAAGAAATCCTACATAACCTCAATGTTTGAAGATGATTTATGAATCGTAAGAGACCAAAAGGCCTTCTGCATAATATCTGAAGGAAATAAAAGTGATAGTTTAACCCTTTCATGCATGTAGTTCATATAAATAATATTAAATATATAAATTATTGTTTTACGTTGCTTAAGGAAAAATAACTGTTTATTTTCAGAATCAAAAGAAACCCAAAGAAGACTGTGGGGAAAACGTATAGTTAATTAATGTTAATGCTGAGATTTATACATCAGAACATTAAAATAAAATCCTTGTAACTAAACTTAGTTACATCTCAAATCTGGTAAAATCTGGCTTTTTAATATTATTAAAGAAAACAAATGGAGGCTTCCTTTAACACGGGTAAAGATCAGTACTCTTTGTTTCTTTCTCATGAGGTTCCATGTTCGATTCTTGTCTCGGGGTTCAATTGCGACACGTTTAATTTTTTTTTTAAGTCATTTCAATAAAATAATGGAACAGCCTTAAAATATGCCTCGACTTTTTCTACCGCTTGAAATTTCATGTTTACTTTTAACTCTGTGTTTATAAAGATGACCGTCTTCTGGGTTGCTGTATCGCATAGTCTCAAAGAAACTGACCGATCGCCCTGATGATGGAGGCACTAACTACACCTGAAACGTCTATTAATTTCTACTAGACTACACGGCGCAACAACCCAGAAGACATTTTTTCACATTTTCACAACCTTCCTAATTTATTTGCAATTATCTCCCCTTATAACGACTGTATACACTAAGCCATTGAATTCAAAAGCAGTCGGTAAGTAAATAAGAAACAAATAACCTTACTGTTGTAATGGAGCGAAACTGTTTCTATGGAACTGTGGCCTCTAACGGCCCCTTTGTCTATCCCCCACCAGATGACGAGAGTAAATATGGGGCAGCATCAGAATGACATTGACAGAAGAAAACCGAAGTTCTCGAGGTGGAGGACATTTCTCAGTGTCATTCTGTCGACCACAGAATCCACATGGACCCGCATGGGAGTCAACCCGGGCATCCGTGATGAGAAGCCGGTGACTAACGTTTCAGCTATGGCACGGTCTCTGAAGTTGCTAGACTTTCTTCAGCGACTCGATGGCTTTCAGTACCTTGTTGTTTGGTCAGTGACTCATTTACACTCCTCATGGACATTGGAATGTGGCATAGATCGATTTGTTGCTAACTGCAGGAAAAAGGCCCATGTAAACCGCGGCTGAAATAGACTGACTCTGTTAAAATGAGTTCTGCGACAAGGTATTTGACGTATTCGGAGGATTTATGAAGTAAATGGACGAGTATATTTGACTCGAAGCCGGGACACAGATTTTTCACCAGTTTTTCTGTATTTGTCTTTACCGACGTTACCGTTCATCAGCTTAAGTCCTAAGTCTAGTGGCCTCTTAACGGTCTCATACTAACATTTGTAGGGTTTCCACAAATTTATTTGTCCGTTTGGTTCATAACGGATATATTTAGATTGGAATTCTTGAAGGGGAAAGTCAAAGAATATTTTTAGAGTTATCTGTCTTAATTTCATATGAATTAAATGGTTTATTGTGTATTTAATTTACTTTAATGTGTCTATATTTAACATTTCACACTAGTATAATCCGCTGTTACCATAAATTTAATTTCTACTCTCATTATTATGCTTTAATCTTGTTTGCATATAGTAGACACTTCGTTGTCGTAAGTCAGAATTAATTGTACTAAAGTCTTGAAAATCTAATTCTCTTTGTGAACGAATGTTATTTCAACACTCGGGTTAAAACACTCCGAATGCTGTTATAATTTAGAAATGTTCAGTCACAACTTATTTTTCATATGTGATATTAAAATTTACCAATGACCTTTCTCTTCAAAAGTTTAAATTTAGTCTTTAGCCATTAAATGTTCATAGCCATAAGCTATGCTTTGCATCTGCCGATAAAATTTTTAATGTAAGTGAAATTTCTGGTTCTCACGGCAAAGATAACAAATTTCACTTAGTAAACCTCTATGTGGAGGTTATACTTCGCTACGTTTAAAGATTCGAAGCACTTGGAATCAAGGAAGCCAAGAGATTCGTTCCTCGTTCTGATAATGAAGGCTACAAGCATCTCTGAAACTTCGGTAAGCTTCTACCAGGGTACGGCAAAACAACCCAGAAGACAGCCATCTTTTTAATGCCGGCTAACGTGCCCGAGTATCTAACCGGTTACCTCTCGAAAACAAGTCTGTAGGGTTACCTCTGATTGATTTAATTGATTTTCAGGTTCTCATCTCGACGACCTTCTGGGATATTGTGTTGTGTAATCTCATAGAATTTGATCCATGTTTACTCATCACCCTGATGATGGAGGCAGTACGCACCTCTGAAACGTCAGTAAACTTATACGAGACTACATAGCAAAATATCCCAGAAAATTGTCACCTTTATATGAATGTTGAGTTGCAAGACGAGTGATTTAGACGTCATTAAACATCTGAATTAATTGTATGCCATCACCAGATCACATACACTGAAAAGTGTGCATATTATAATAACGTAGAATGCCAGATTATAGAAAAACATAAATGTTTTGGGAGTAAAAATAATGTGCTAAAACTGAAAATATTGTTGTGAATATGCTAATAGGTTATTTCTATCTATCTTATAAATATATATCACCTGGACTTTAGCAAAAACAAATGTACGAGGAAATTACGTAGTAGGGTCTATTATTTAAATTAGAATTATACCAACTTTATCATAAAAAGCCTTATACTTTGCAGAACCTGTAAATTTTACTAATTCCTCCACCAAGATGTAAAGACCTTATTTCTAGAGTCTATCAATAGACGACCATATAATGCGACAACACCTCATAAGCAGGCAATCAAAATTTTATAGCACGATAATTAGCCCCATACCTGCAATGAATTCTTTTTTGGGTTCTCTGTTACGTGGCGGTCCTCCTCATCAGGAATATCATGATCATGTGCAAAAACAATAGAGTCGTCGTTTCTCGGAGCAAGTCTTGCCACTGACGTGTGTGTAAATGATGGCTTTCCAACTTCAGAAGGAAAAGTTATAGGTAGCCACGATTCACTGTCTTCTTTTGCATAAGAAACCCAGATGGCAAAAAGATATGCCACCAGAGAAACACACTGTATTTTATTCACACTTTCACCCATTACCACTTTTACTAGTTCTGAACGCCCTTTCTCCTTACGACATCTGAATAACGCTAAAAGCTTACTGAGTTTAAATACAATCGCTGGAGCATATTGCAGAGACGTAATCACAGGTTATACCAACACAGGACGTGATTAACTTATATGTGAAGTACATGTCGCTCTCTGGCGACAAATAACGTTAACTATTACATTCTCCTTGAAAGAACGTCATAAAAACGTCAGACGAACTGGTCTCTCCCTTCTATCTTCTCTACCGCAAAACGTTTAACTTTCTTTTACCTTCTTAAAATCGCGTTTTCAAATAGGGAGAGCGGACAAACTTAAAAGAACGAATCATTTTGACGAGTATTTCGGGTTTTTCCCAGTCAACATTTCTCTATATTTGAAACACGTTTCTCTTTCTACTTATAACCAGGGTTCGCTGGGACTGTGGTTTCAAGTTGCTGACTTTCCATAATATTAATCACCGTTATCTGAAGGTGTGTTTGATCCTGACAAAAACAACAAAATTTAGTGTCAACCGTGCATACCACATTTAATCGAAATTAAAAGCTTTAAGATGAATCATGATGACAGAATATGAATGTGACCTTTCTACGTGTACACATCCTGTACTGTTCAACTGACGCATTAGAGCACACCGTCGTATAGATTACTGATGGTTACGTATCGTATATGCAAAGAAGTTCTAATATATATAAGCTAATTGCACAGATCAATATCTGATTTACTCTTTCTCCGATGTGAATAACTACGACATAAAACTTATATTTAATTTACATGACGAATTACAGCACTTCTTCAACATGAAGAGCGAAAAAAATGTTCAATTCGCTATAACCTACCAATTCTTTTCCCTATTTTCTGCTAAATACGAACCAACGACGTCCTAACGTACAGCGACACATAACGCCATGTTTGAACACCATCTTGCACCAATATTTTCCCCTTAAATACACCGTCCTCTTGTCACCGGACGAATAATTCAAAATATCTTGCTTAAATATGATCATGAAGTTCTAGTAACATTTTCTTGAACATCCATTATTGACTAATTTCTTAGAAATCTCAGTATCGCTTGTCCTGGCGTCGAAATTATTTAAACAGAAGTAGTCACGTGTATACGCGGCCAGAAGAGGTAAGCGGCGATGTGTTAATGAAGTTAATAAGTAAAGACGAGGAGATAAACATAAGCCATTGTTGGATCCCTGTGAAGGATTTATAGTGATAATAACACTAATAGGACTACATCATCATCTGAAATAGAATTTAGCAATAATGATGCGATATAACTGTAAAAATAATTGCATTATGAAGTTGCGCCCAATAACCAGACACGCTCCACGTCACTTCCTTGTCGTCATTGACCAGAGGTACTTGAACTTTCTTATTAAGGATTTCTGGTACTGGAAATGACTCAACACTGTAACGTAACCACATCCATTACCAATCACATTTGTACGCTCAACACGTCAAAGTAACTATCAACACTTACGTAAAGGTCGTTGTAAGAACGTACGTAGGTACAATAAGGTTCGGAAAATACAAATCATATTCTCTGAACGACATTTCGACATACTACATCACATTTTTAACAGTAAAGGGTTATCTACTTTGTCCGTGACGTCAGTAAAAATGAGTTGTTTGCGAGAGATACAATAAGTTCGTTTTAGTCTATGTCGAAAGCAATGTTCTGCTTTATTGCATAGTTGGAACATTTCAACAAACAAACAAACAAACAAAAAATCTTTCGTAATAAATATATAATTTCACATCCCTGAAATCATTCTTCATTTGTCAAAAATTGAACGATGCTTAAAATTGTTGTGTCCCTTAGTATAATTCTAAAGAATTCTACGAAGACAATTTTATTGGATATTAGTCATCGTGTCACCAAATTTTTACAATCCTTTTCAGCCGGAGAACAACATTACCTTCATTCAATAATGAAAAGTTTACCAACATTTCAGAGGTCCGTGATGCCTCCATCGTCGCCCTGATTATGGAGGCAGCAGGACCTCTGAAACGGTAAACTTCTACCACTCTACACGGCGCTACAACCCAGAAAACAAAAATCTTCATATTTTTAATCGCCCTGATGACGGAGGCAGTATGACCTCTGAAACGTTGGTTAACATCGACCAGACTACACAGCGCAACAACCCAGAAGACAGCCATCTTCATACTCGCTGCAGTGAGAACCTCAAATCCTACTCTATGTTTTAGACTGGATTAAACTGGCTCAAACTAGGATTCAACGATCAATTATGTAACTGTGGTGAAGAACTGTCACCTAGTATTAACACGAAAAACAAAACTTCTAAATAATCATTAACTGCAAGGGAGTCACTCAGTGACTCAGGCATTATTTTTCTTAATTTATACTTCCCCCAGAAATTCCCAACTTGCACTTAGCTGTACACAAAGGCCAATGAATAGCACTGATATTTATATTGCAGAATAATTGCATCCTACCTTTTAAGTCCGGATCAGAAGTTATTTCGATAGAAAAGGAGACGATCACGAAATGGCCAGCACAGATAATCCCCAGAAAGCCATTGTGGTTTAAAGACAGGGACTTCCCCGACCTGTAAGAGATTATATCCGCAAAGTCGCAAAGCAGTGTAATAAATTACAAGGCGAGTTTCAAAATAGACATGTTTACGTAGGACTCATTCCTGTGAAAAACCACGCCACTGACATGGGAATGCATTAATGACCTAACCTGTCACGTGACCGGTTAAGAAATAATGACAACAATAATAATCTTTTGAAACCCACTCTCATGGTTGCACATTACACCCCCAGCCTCAATGAAATTTTAAATGTTCAGAATGTATTTTTTTAACTGTACTTACGGCATTAGTTCAATATATGATGTCACTTATTTCTTGTAAAAAAAGTCCGTCACAAGACACTACTTTTTTGCGTTTATCTTGGAATTTCCTGGTTGATTATGAGCGAAAGCATACCGTTCTAATTTTTCTATGCATTGCAAAGCCCTCGTACATAGATAACTCTTCTTCATCAGAAGATTCTTTGCACAAATCGTCACTTGAAGTCATCACTTTGTCTAGCACATTATCGATTGTTCCAGCAACATCGTCTTGAACCGCTAGAATGTTGTCGAACGTTGAAAGAGCTTGGAC